TTTTACCGATTCTCACATCTCGGGAACGCGATTACTCTTGTAACTATCTTAATAAAACTTTATAATTAATCGCTAAAATTGCCATATGCGATCGGTGTAAAGCGGCAACGTCCAACGAGCGAGACGTCAATCCATTCCCTCTTAAGCACCGAAGTAACATTAGCATCTCGCGCCTACTGCATGAGTACGATTTACGTGTCCGTAATAGATATAAAACAGCAGCTTCTCTCAAGCAAGTAGGAGGTAGAGTTGCTGGAAGCCGAGTTATAATCGGAAATCATATTTTCCCTGCTAAGCTGGATCCGGGCATCTATGTAGCGACCGCCCTTGTGCATGTTGGCCGCGCGTCAAGTAAGTTTCCACTGTCACACACGCTTAACCAATCACACGAGCTCTTTATTGTTTTTCGAACACCGATAAACCTGGGATATTACTTCGAGGTTTGCGATCATTTCATTGACGTGTCTGTCTCCTCTCGTTTTCCACTTACAATATAAAAGATTCAAAGGCGCGACTCTGCAACGGAAATATCTCTCTTCACTTCTCGATCTGCAGCATAAACCTTGCACAATACCTTTATCACTGTATCAGATATATAGGTAAACCAATAAACACTGTCAACAAGAATTTTTCGAGCGTGCGATAAATATTCGAAAAGTCTATCATGCAAACAATAATTTATAAATCCTTTGTGCCTTAAAGTATGAACACCAGAAGTTCTATTAATTATACTTGTATTTGCACATCAAATTTTCTATGTAAAATCCCGTGCATCTATTGATAAAATATATGTGTGATAGAGATTTTAGATATACATATATTATATTTACATACACATTAAACTCTATATGTGCTCCATATTTCACGCAACACGTTGTGATGTACAAATTTGTACAGACCTTTTTCCCCGATATTAAGAAACCGAGAAGTAATATCTCAGATTCCAGCCGTCCGATTTTCTCATGCACACTCTACGTCGCGTTAACCACTCGCGCGTCCCCCGAATTGCCTGGTTCCAACTACTAACCGTGCCTGTTGCAGACCGACAGCCTATACAACTACAAAGAACACTACCAGCAGCAGCATCGGCAGGAGATGCAGCAGTACAGCTACCCCTTACCGAGCAACAGTTCGAACCAACTAACACTGCCACTAACGCGCAGCCTCTACCATTCCTCGATAGCTAGTCCCCTGCAGACCTCCCTCGTCCACACTAACAACAGCCGGCCGTCCACCCTGATGCACCACGAGGCCGCCACCATTGGCAATCACTTGCCTGCGGTGCATCGGGACGAAGAGCAGCAGCAACAGCAGCAGACAAATTACGGCAATCACGACGCGAGACAATCGTCGACGCGTCGGCACGCGACGAATCGGCGGAACGAGCGTAATCGGAAGTACCGGAAGCACGAGCGTACGTCGAGCGATCGGAGCAAGTCGAAGCAGAGCCGGCAAAGGGACAGAGACTCTTCTTCGCGGCGTAGCAACGCTTCCTTTGTCGACACCCCCGATTGCGAGACAAGCTTCCATCAGATCCCGGATCTGGGCGTGCCCGAAACGATGTACAAGATCTCGTATCCGCATTACTACGAGGACGACATCGCGGAGTGCTCCACCGACTATCACAAGCCAAACTCGGCGCTGGCGCGTCAGCAACAGCAGCAGCAGCAGCAGCAGCCGCCTTGGGAACACCAGTCGAATCGCTGCACCAGCAATAACACGCCTCAATTCCCATCGGACGCGGGCGACGCGAAAAATCGCAGTAAAACGTCGAAGACGAGGCTCGGCGACACCCGCAGCATATCATCCGCGCCCACGATAATGCAGTACGCCGAGTTTCACTTCCGGGATGTCGGTCAGGAGATCGATGTCTAAAGGTTAGTCATCCCGAATACCTGCTGATGCACAACGGCACGGATGTTCTTTCGAAGAACGCGGGCGATCGCATTTTTTTTTCTCCCCCCAAGGAATGTCGTATAGCAATTTGTTTAAGGCCTCGAGGCTTGGTACACGCTATTACGTCTTAAAGGTAACGCACCCGCGCGTGTCAAACACAGATTTCTTTAAGATGTTCCTCTACGTACGTCGTATTCAAAGGTAGGGTAATAAATTAATATGCTTTCCTTTTATTTTCTCTTCTACACTATTTACTTTGCCAATTATCCTTTGCCACGTATCCTTCTACAATTCTAATATCTTGACTTTTTTTTTATCTTGATCTGCCCCATTGCTTTTGCCCCATTTTATTTGCATTTGTTTGTTTTTCAGGTACGGATTTAGATATTTTCTTCTTCTTGCATCTGAATTAATATTAATTCGACTTTCGACAACGCACGGCATATCAACTCCTCTCTATGCTTTGATAAATACGGAAGATTATTTGATATATTGTGGAAAAGATTGTGTGTATTTTACATGTTGTATAACTTTATATTGTTATAATATAATTTATAATTTATTATATAACATCACCTTATAATACCATCGGACACACCCTTTTCAATATACATTCATTGTTTGACGATACGCACAGCGTGGTTCGAAATGTTTCGAGATAAAAACGATAATATTATATGTATATTTATATACACGTATATATAATTCTGTTAGAATTCATTTTCGAGTTGAATACTATTCCCGCAATTTCTTTTTAATAAATCCCTCGTGCGCTTTAAATCAATATAATACTATTAAACTTCATGCGTAAAACGATAATACTGAGCGACATAAAGCATTACTGCAAGCAGATAGATATTGTTTTCAATAATATTTAATTCAATCAAAGAAATATCCAATCCATAAAAAAAGCTATGTGTGTATTTCTACGAGTAATAAGAAACCGTTCAAATACGAAAGATTGAAATCGCGCATCAGTTTGAGCATCCCCATAGAGAAACTTTAAGTTCGACAATAGTATAGGTACTACATCTGCAGTCATACATATTATATTATATTGATTTGATTTATAAGAAGCGAATTATCCAATTTGATAAACGTAACCCAACGCAAAATATATAACAGCTAGGATATCCTAAATAGACTTGAGTAATAATATCAAATTGGTGTTTTCTATCAAGTTTGAAACTATCGAACTTCAAGACATCCCAGATACTGATACACAATATATACTATATAGTATAGACTGCTGACGCAGTTTGCTTTGTTTTATTTCGTCGTGTGGTTATAACAGGCTCTACGCCGCAAACTTCTATAGGTAATGTCGAATTGTCGTGAATTTTATTTTTTAAAATAAAAAGCAGCAAGGAGCAGCACAATATTTACACATTATCTGAAATCTAAAGAAGCTGATAGGAGCTTGTTGATGGAACGGATCGAGACGATTTGAAGGGAACATTTCATCTCGCGGTAGCTTTATTCTATCGTAAATATTATTTATACTTTTTTTTAATTTCCTCGTACAAACTGTCAATAATTTTACGAATTGAAAATGAATTGAATCGTCAAAACAGTTTTGGTCGCTTTACATCTTGCATGTCTCTGTATCTCTCCCGCGAACGTACTCTGCCCGTGAGGCAGCTTGACGTAAAAAGCGCAATGCGAGCGGCGAGGAAGGATCGTTGCATGCGTATATACTATATCAATTGTATATCTCAATGTTTGTTCGTAGGAGGGTCCGCTGACAAAGAGCGATACGTACATTTACTAGGACAATTTGGCGTCCGACAAGCCCTGTAGGTACATTGTACGGAGTATGTCACGCTGCTTACACCATATATAACATAATTCGAGATTACTATAATACAAATACGGAATGTATTTGCGCCGCTCGCGCGAGGGATGCCGAACTCGAGCTCGTAGCTTTACTTGTAAAGTCACAACAATCTCAATATCTTCGAATTAACATATTTGTTTACGTGCTATTCTCTTGCAAATTATTTTTAATTCCTGCTTACGTATATATATAGTCTCCTGTGGGTTACCGAAATTATTTCAATCCCGTTGTGTGTGAAAGCGTGTATACAACACGCCCAACGCATATTTTATTGCCTAGAAATAAATTTGCTTGATAGAAAAAGAAGTTGTTAGGACATCTGCTAAATAATTTGGAAGTAGTCGAGATTACGGTTTATTACGTCGCACGATATTGCACTACTCTACATTCATACTGCAGACGTAAGCTTTAGTCAATTGTAGATCATCACGGTTTACTATAATATAATCGTCGCTCTTGCTACGTACAACAATAAGAGCTTCGAACCAATTAGGCAGCATAATTAGGCGAGTATTATTGTCCGAACAACAATCCCCTCAAATTCCGAACCACGCAATACCAGTTTAATATATGTATATGGGGGCGAGACTAGCATGCAGCATGATAACACTTATCATGACTAAACTTAATCTGATCAATTGGTGAGCTGAGAATAAGAGGATTATCTGCCAGATGGTTTAACAATGAATAGCCCGTTTATATGTATAATTCTCTCTCAGCCCTTCAATAACATCTCCCCTTGACTCGCGTACTCGCTTTAGGCGCGCCTTAGACGTTGTCTAATTGACTGACATCGATCACGAACGAGAAAGCTTAACACCCGAAATGGTACTAGTCATTTGTCGATCGCTTGCAGAGCAGGGTCTGTTACGAGACTTCACGAACAGTCCGCCATAAAACTTTCGTGTGTGCAATCGTCCGCGCAGCACGGTTAAAACCCAAGCAATACAAAAATTTAAGGGACATTTATTTATTATCAAAATAAAATCTTGATAATAATCTTTGTAGAATTATCTAAGTAATAAAGATCTATTTTACTGATTAAACATACAAATAATAAACACAAGAGTTAAGTTAATACGGCAACGAAAATTTATTCCAAATAAAATTCATTTAATTTCGTACGGAAGCGGAATTTCGCTGTGAAACTGAGAAATCGAAAACATCCTAAAAAGCGCTTGAAAGACCAGGATTGTCTTTTAGACATTTGTATTGTTTGAGTGCATTTTCGTTTCGTGATATTCGTCACGCTTTTCTGTTTATGCAGCCCTTCAAACCGGAATTCTCGGATCTCGATTATGCGGACGTGGACTACAAGTCGTACGGGCCGATTAACTATAAAGCCGCCAGTATCGCGCTCCTTCAGAAGCAGCAGCAGCAGCAGCAGCAACAACAACAACAACAACAGGCTCAACAACAGCAGCGACTTTTGGACAGGAGGCCGCAGATGTACGGTGCTTCGGACGATAACGAGGAACTGCTTTAACCCTTTCCCATTCATTGTTCATTTAATAGCGATCCTATTTCAGCTTTCTCGGGGAGATGCAATGATAAGATACATTTAGCATTGAACGTGTTATATCTCGATAGGTAATTCGTTAAAACTCGCTAAATTCGATTTCTATGAGACCACACGTTGCCATAATAAATTTCTAGGATTATGATTCTCATGTGGAGCGAATTTAACGAGTTACGACACGGCGCCGCGTAATACGTTTTGTTCGTACGAGCGTAATTTGGCACGCGCATAAAAAAAAATTTATCTCGCTAAAAATTAATTATCCGCCGAATGCTTCTGTTTCAAAAGTTCTAAAAAGTTTTAAATAAAACGCTTGTCTTGGTGTCGTCCAGCTACTACGATCGAAGATCTTGTCAGAAACATTGCACGAAGGAAAAATAATGCTCATATTTTATTTACCTCAAAATCCAATTTTTACCACTTATGGTCCCATCACGTGTCTTTGCATAATTGAAACAAACGTAATAGGATTTGCTCGATATTCAAAAAGCTATATATATCCTTCGCATTACAGGTAGCCGAAATACACAATCGCATATCTGCAAATACATTTACGTAATGTTCGGTTGCTTTAAGGGAATATCCAGGACTGTCTGTTCAGATAAATGTACGTTTAATATATTCTCTTTCTATGTAATGCGATTATTTATGTTATTACGCTGCTTCCAATATTCCGTATCATTTCACATGCCATATTTCATATGCCTGCACTATATTACAAAATTAGACCTTCTCAGATGGGATTAGAACTTTGGTTACACATTAAAATGTAAATGTTTGAGGAAAAAGGTCGGAAACTCGTTCTTATTCACTCGCACCGGACACACGACGATGTACGAACTTGGTAGGACACATGTGGCAAAATTTTAAAAAAATTTTTGGAGATCTGTAAATTTATAAATACCTTTATACGAGATTATTGATACAATTGTACATTTACATAAGCTATCGGCATGTGTTCCGGGATCAAATTATGGAGATAATGCGCGAACCGTGGCGATAGAAAAGGAGATCTTGTTAAATATTGAATTAAGAAAAGAAGAAAAACATATCGCAGCCAAAAATATAATTCCCATCTCTCTGTTCCGTATTATTGTTATACAATTATTGATAAGCGGCGGTAGAATATATAATTCTGTTGATGCATATTATTCTCGAATATCTTCGTATAATGCGTTTGTAAATTTGTAAGTTACAAGAATGATGAGTAGTTATTTGTACAGATCGACTATAAACCAAATATCACCGCTTAATCGCGGATCACACACAGTCCAGTGTTTATGTCATCAAGGATCTTCTTGTAAATAACGTATCCTTATAATCGTTAATTAATATTATCGTCAATCGTGAATGATTAGCTATGATAATACGTTTCACCGAGTATTGGTTTAAAAAACCAACTCTGCGATCGTTTGTAAAATTGTGTTCACTTACCTCTTGCCGTGAGAGCATAAATTACGCGAAAAATATATATTAAACGCATGTTCGATGTCGCTATAATAAAATCACAGTCTGATGACAGACTCGGTCGCGCCTACGATTTTAATGGTGATTTATACTGTTTACTACAACGTAAATGTTAAATACAACCAAATAGAACAAGGCTTCTGTATGCATGGTGATACGTCTTATCGTATCTTTTTATTCGTCAACATCCCTCCACGGTCCATTGCAAATCGCTTTTCTTTTACCGCACGCGTGTTCCGATCGATTCAATCGCGTCGCTTTGCGTTCAAATCACGATTCGCTCTATTCATCGATATACATGCCGGGTGCCATTGATTCCTCTGGAAATTTTAATACTTTCTTTCGTTTATGTAAAGTCGATTTTACTGCGGCGGAAATTCAATTGATCATCAATCTCTTTTTTTATATCTCTTTGATATTGAATATTAAATCTTTGCAAAGTTTCAAATTAGACTTCTATTAAAGTACAATTCGATTGGAATTAAGTTATATCAACAAAATTTTCGTATTTTTATCAAGATTTGTAACCATCTATATAGAGAGAATTGTGAAGAAAATTTATCAAATTTTTGCTGTGAAAAGATCAATTTCTTTATCAAAGAATCTATACGATAAAGCTCTCTTGAGTGATAAATCTCGGCGTTTCTATATATCGCATATGTTTCTACAGAATATACCATTTATAACTGAATAACTTCAAGCTTTTTGAACAAGATATATACAAAGTATAATTTTCCTCTTTAAAACAGGTACGAAAATGTGTTCACAACGTGAGATTTACCTTTTTTCTAGAGTAGAATGGAGGTAAATAAGGGAAAAACTGCACTTTTACAGTTTCATTGTTCTTGAAAGAATTACATTCAAAAATATAATTCAATCCTGAAAATGTGAAATATTTTGCAGCAATGTGAGGAGAACGGGCGAAGCGTATCATCACTGGAGAAACATAGATTGACTTTTTGAAATTGGATAAAAATTAAATAAATGGAATGACGGGACATGAAAATCTCTTTTACATCAATATCCAATTATCATGTAATACATTCGCTCAGCATTCAAACGCAGATGTATTTACAAAGTTTTATTATTGTCATCGTGAATATACAATATAATATGCCACTGAAACGCACAGTTTATGAAAAATAAAATCTGATTTAATTTGGCCGATATTAATAGAATACTGCCAACATCGTTCTGCCAATCTTGTAAAAGGTTTTGCTCTCGTAATCACGGTATCGATTTAAACCTTTTCATTAATTAAAATATATTGCACGGCTCAATTTCGTGACTAACGTGACTATTTTAATTATTCGATATTTAAAATAATTTGTTAGTACTGTGGCCTAAATTATTAATTTAATAAATTAATATTTCCTATGCTTCCTTGAAACCGCGAGGCCCGAGAGGCATTCCTATATAAAATGTATAAAAATGCTTCTTTCTCTTTTTCTTTCCTTCTTTTTCTCTCTTTATATATAGATATATATACATATATGTACGTATATATGTGTATATATATATAATATAATACATATAAAGCGTAAGAAAATAATTTTGGAACTAATTTAAGCATCGCGAAACGTCCGACCGACGACGATTACGGATTATACACCTGTTCGAAACTAGCCGTATAACTAGCCACCTAACGTATGCATAAACTTGTATGAACGTATCTGTGTAATAACTTACACTAGGAGTGTAAAGTGATTTTTCACCAATTTTTATATTTGAAACGTCGCTCTGTGAACTGTTGCTCGGTGAATTGAATAGTTGTAATGAACACTACTGTATACATACGATACCTAATAGTACCGCGAATCGCGATCTCAAGCGTTTAAGAACTGTAAAACATTAAACCGTAATAAGAATCGAATAATCTTTAGAGTATGTGTATAGATTTAACCGAACATTTATATAAAAAAAACTCCAGACGATCGTTTCCTTAAATTATACACGATAATATATAGCAATCGATCATTTGTAACATATTCACGCAGGTTCCCATCGAAAACAAATAATCGGAGAATGTGTGCAAAAAGTACAGATAACAATAAAATTTCTTTAAATAAAATGCATTAAGCTTGTGCAAGATACTCAGTTCCACATTGAAGCAATGAGCACGAATCACATATTTTTACAATGAAAATGCACGTTTTTATTATGATGTTTCTTTCATATTCCAACCATTTCTTTGATACACATTGTTGTACACAAAGTACTAAAATAATAACAATGCATTTAAAAGAAATTTGAACGGATTGATGAAAGTTACATTAGAAGTGTTAATTTTGTAATAAATTTTAGATTTATGTAAGATTAAAAGGATTACATTTGCCTTTATTGTTAACGTGTAACGTCCAATAAAATTCTGTTATATATGCAAAGCATTACATTTACTTCTCATCGTCCCATTATTCGATATTTCTTTTATAACAGTGGTAAAAAATAAATTGCATATAAATATCTTTTACAATAGCATAAAGAATATTTTTTATAACTATACAAAAATATTTAAATTGTAATTTGATATGGATATTATATTTCTGAGGTTATTTTAAAATTGTAATTATAAGTTGTACCTAATCTCAATAGTTTTGAGCTATTATTTTATTACCCGCTTTGTTTAAAGCAGATAGGCATTAATTAATTAAAATTTTAGTTGACTAAAATAATCTATTAATCAATAATCGAAATTAATCAATTGTCATATGTGTAATCGTGACTAGTTTAATCGATTAAAGATATTAATTTGATAAATCAGTTTTATTCGTGTATGAGAACGCGTGAACTTTTTTTTACCTTTTTTTCTGTAAAATACTTATGAAGACAATAATATGTCCCGGCACCGCCACCGGTGCGGCCGTTGGCCCAAGATCTCGACGGAAACGGCTTCTTTGACTGATGGTGAAACTTTGAACATTTTCTTTTTGCTCTCACAATCGAGAAATAACCATAAAATGTTAATGTGATATGTGTGAACTTAGTTCTTAGCCTAGTTCTTAACAACACTGATTAATCAATGATTGAATTAGTGACTGACTACCAATTTTTACAATTAAATTAATCGATTTTTATTTCACTAAATTAATCGACTAAATTAATTACAATTTGATAAATCGTGATTATATACAACGATTAAGTATTAATTGATTAATGATTAATTAAATTTGCTTCAATTCATTCCGCATTAATTTATTAATAATTAATATCATTAAATCGGCTAAATTAGATTACATATATAATTAATTAATTTTGATTATTGATTAATGGATTACTTCAGTCAATTAAAATTTTAATCGATTAATAGATAAAATTACACTTAAATTAAATCGTATACAAAATCCAATTTATAAAATTATCAATTGTTTTTGATTAATAAATTCTATAATAATCAAGTATTTATTCCAAGGATACAAGTCCCATATCAAATGCAAAAGACAAAAGAGACGTTGCGCGAAACATACGTAGATTTTATCTTCATCTAGTAAACAGAGACTGTGAGCGACGTTCGCAGTTTCATATCCGAATCATTGCGCTGGAAGGATGTGCCGCGTATCGAGTATTTCAGTGTCACAGAATTCTGACGCATAGAAATTCTCACGTCGATGGAAAACGTATTGCGTGTTACTTGTACACCTTTTCTCACAGGAATCCACGGAGCAAGACCGATATCACAATACCGAAATCCCCCGAGGTACAATGCATAAAGTTCAATTTAGTAGCTTAACTCGCGCGCGCGAAGTAAGACATATACTCTTGCTTATTCTAGAACGTGTGCTCTCCAACAAAAAGTGAGCATTGCAATATTCTCTCTCTCTCTCTCTCTCTCTCTCTCCCTTTTTCTCGCGGTAGCAAATTCCCAAAACGAGATGTGTACTGTGCTACAATTAAGCGTGCAATGAGCCGTACTTCATGACGATTGCACGTAATTTTCTAGTTCTGATACTAATTAACTCTCTGTGGAGCTATTTGCTAGTTGCATTGATATGATATCCATATGTACTTCGTATGTTAAATATAAAATATAAGTACTTTATGCAAATAACATTACGGTATATTTTGCATGGTACGCTTTAGTATCGTCTAATGCGATATATGTTCAATTTACGTCATACGTTGTTAAATAATAATCAATAATAATTTTTGATAACTAATGTAAAGTTTGACACTGCAAACAACGAACACAAAACATGTTGATTAAAAACATATAACTCGAAATAATCTTACATAACAAAAAAGTTTATAAGGAAATGATACTTATCGAGATAAAAGATTTAGATGTAACGAGATAATGAAAATCACATTCTTTATTTTTAAATAGTCAAAAGGATGACGTTTTATTATAATTTTAACAAGTCACATCATAATGTCATAATCTGAAAATATTTACAAATTCTCGATCTCCAATATATAGATTACAGGCCATATAGAGTACATGTCAAAAGAACTTTTAAACTTTGTATCTTATAATAGATAATAGAATCGATAACCGGTCGTCAATCTCTCTTTTTTTTCTCTCTCTCTTTCTCTCTCTTTTTCTTTTTAGTTGGTATAAAGCTTTTAATAAAATTACGCGAATATATGTACATTTTATCTCAGTCCAATATTCACTCATTAAAAAATATTACTGTCACATGTTACGTGTTAGACGTTTATCTCGTTCAAATAATCCTATTAGATCCAATGGATCTTCGTATGATTTACATCAAGCTTTTCTAGTTCTCAATGTTCTAAAATGCTCGAACAAAAATACAACAATTCACATGTCGTAATGTAATGCATATACTCGATACTACAAGAATAAACCGTAATGAGAGAACTGTAAATTGCTCGATGCTACAAGAATAACGCGTGTCATTGCATATTTGTTTCAAAGTTGTGCAACACTAAAATACAGCATCCGATTCTGACAAAAAAACGTGATAAGACTATAATTGTAAGTGTATATAAATCTTCTTGAATCTTCGAGTTAATAATGTCGTTCTATTTGTTCATACACAGATAAGGTAAACTTGTCACGTGATATCAGATGAGTCTGATTTTGCAAAAGAGATATTACTTAACAGGCAGTTACATTTCATCTCAATTTCAATTAACATCAATCCATTTATTGGCATGCCATTTTGAAATCAATTCGCGAAATGTGCAGAGTTCTGAAACGTGAAATACAATTCTAAATCGTGCCGCGTTAAGTGTACATATAGTTGAAGTTTCTTCAACTTAAACAGATGTAAATATATTAAAGATATTTACGAAACTTATTTTGCGAAAGAGTGAAAATGACGATAGTGGAAGATAAAAGTTTGAGCGAAACACTCGCAAAAAAGGATTCGACAAAAATAACGAAATCAGAACCGGACGATGTCCGACCGCTCAAATTAAAGGTGTATAAAAAAAGATGGCTAATGCTGGCCATCTACATGTTTTACGCTGGATCAAACTCTTCTCAATGGATAGAATACTCGATTATAACTAACATAGTTACCAGGTATCACATTTTCCTCAAAATACAAACAGTATTTTTTAACGTAAATACATCAAATGCTTTTCTTGTATATTTTTCAGGTATTATGGAGTGTCTTCGTTAATGGTTGACTGGACCTCGATGTCGTTCATGGCATTTTACGCGGCGTTTATATTCCCAGCGTCGTATGTGACAGACAGGTGCGGCCTGCGATGGACCACCATCATAGGCACCGGCTTAAATTGTCTGGGTGCCTGGATAAAAACCTTTTCCATTCAACCCGACAGGTTTCACGTCGCTTTCATCGGTCATTCGGTAGTCGCGCTCGCCCAGGTTACATATACATATCTTAATTTACTCCATTAATCTTCTTAAAAAAATCTTGACCGTCACGACTTAATTCTTTTCCTCTTCTTTTCTTTTTTTATATCCTTATCCCATTATCACTCTATAATTCTCTGCCACGTACAGAAGATAGTAATTACTTTATTTCATATTAGACTATGGTCCTGCCGTTACCAGGACGCATAGCCGCGCAATGGTTTCCTGCTACCGAACTCTCGACCGCCACGTCTTTGGGTATTTTCGGCAATCAATTAGGAGTATCGTTGGGTTTTCTCTTAGGGCCCGTAATAGTGAAAAACCACAAGAACCTGGATGACATTGGCAAAGATTTGTCACGTTTATGCTGGATCGTTGCAGTCGTCGCCACGATTGCATTTGCTCTAGTCCTTATACGTGAGTTCGTAATCTATTACAAATACAGCAAGTAGCAATAGTGTATTTGCCTATCATATAAGTATTTAACTCTTATCAACTGTGATGTAAAACAGATCTCAGCGTGATGTAAAAAATATTTTTCTCGCTTCTTTAAATCTTCCACGTATGAAAGAATTCCATATTCTTTAACTTAATAAAATAATAAATAATCAAAATTAAATTCGTATTGCGCATATTAATATAAAATTTTTTGTTTACGCGTTGCTGTGTTAACTTTGGCAAATGAGATTTGAGTGTCTCTTTTAAACGATCATTATTGATATCCGTTAAGCCGAAATAATCCTTTCTAGAGATTAATTGAAGGAAGCTATCCGTCAATATAGTTATCAAATTTTCAACGTAACTAAATTTTCCAATACAGGCGATAATCCACTTTAATCTCGGTCTCTTTATCCAGGTTTTATTTTTATTTATCTTACCCAACCGCAAGAGGATAAACCGTAATTAATTAAAGATCGCTCGCGTTCCAGAAAAGATTATCTCGTTTTAATCTTCTCAATGTGCTTCCGCGTCAGTATTTCAGGACGAACCGAAACTGCCGCCGAGCGAGACAAGGGCGCTGCAAAAAATTAATCGGACGAAGAAAAGAGAGGAATTCGTGGCGCCGATTAAAAGGCTCTGCAAAAATAAAAACTTTATCATGCTCTGTAATTCCTACGGTTTCAATGTCGGCGTGCTGAATGCCGTTTCTACATTACTCAATCAGATATTCCTCGCACACTTCGAAGTAAGCCAGTGAATCTCGATGCAATCAGATCAAACATAAAAAGAAAGAAATTCAAGCAAATATTTATGAATTTACGTCAACATCTAAAGATATTTTCGTACATATTTTGTACATATGTATCTAAATTTAAGACATACATATATACTCCGCATGTGTTTTAGAACGGAGAAGAAGATGCAGGCAGAATTGGCTTAGCTATAATTTTGACCGGTATGGCCGGTTCTGTTAGTTTTGGTATGATCCTTGACAGAACACATAAGTTCAAGTAAGAAAGACATTTACAATTGTGTTAGAAGTCCAATTTAACAAAAAATGTACCTTGCATTTATTATAAATCATAACCTAGAAACGTTGACCAATAATAATATATGTTTCCAGACAAACTGCCGTGACTGTATATTTTCTTACTTTTTGTGGTCAAATACTATTTGCGGTGTCCATTTGCTTTGGCATAAAATGGATGGTATATGTGTCGGCGATTTTCTTAGGGTAACGTATCGATCGACATTTATATTTATAAGCGCATATTGAAAAGTTACAATAAAAAATTGATTGTTTACGTGTAGATAACAAGTTTATCTTTGAACAATTCAGTGAAATGTACTTGCTACTCTTATTATTTCATTATTTAAGTTCTGTTTTCAATGCACATTTTGCAAACAAATTTGGACTTTTATTATATTTTATTTAATGTTAGTTATTCGGTCTTATGTAATATAATTTGGAATAACATACATATTATAACATAACATATTATATCTGTGGTATCATTCGTTTCAGATACTTCATGTCAGGATATCTAGCGTTGGGATATGACTTGTGCACCGAATTTACCTATCCAGAATCGGAGAATATACCCGCGGGATTTCTCAATATAACGACCAGCATGTACGGCATTGTACTCATTATAATATTTGGATTGTTACTAAACGCGTACGGCGATATTCCGGTGCACATCGGTTTATGTTTGGTTTTACTGCTCGGATTCATCTTGACCGCCGTAACGAAAGACGAGCAAAGACGACAAGATGCGAGGAAGAAGGCTCAGTATCAAGAACACGCGAGAATTGAGAAAAATGTCGACGACGTTCCAGAAACTAATCAACTAACTTATAATATTAATCAGTAGACACAAATGATATCAGATCTTTCAATACTGATAAACTTTCAGTCATATGTAATTTTATTCATATATTTTGTATATTTCAATAAATTTCAAAAAAGAATTAATCTCACATTGCGCACAGAAATGTAAATTACGCGTCGCTTTTATGGGAACGCAGAACCATAAGTATATTAAAAATTTTTTTTACGAAAGAAACTCTTACCAATAAGTAATATGGCATAGTTTGATATTGCCTCTACCATAAAATGAAACGCGATTACTCCGACAAGATTAACTTTACAGTATAGCAGTAAAAAGGATTTAACACTACATAATACCGCTAAAAAAGTGAACAATGAGAATCTTGCGTAAATTAAAATTAAAACATGATAATTTTTCTTCTTGGAAATTATAAATAATCATCAATTTGTCTTAACTTCTGCTTAATTGTACTTAATATTCTGATATAATTTCGTTATACGCGTTAGATTACGCTTAATGAATTCAAAATAATAAACATTGACAGAAGCCTATCGACTTCAATATTTTATGCGACAAGCTTCTTGTTTAATTTTTTTATGTAAACATACATTTTTAAAAACAACATAAATCATATAGTGAAAAATGAGAAATGCGAATAAAACGCAGATATAAATTAACAAACGGTGGCACACGGACATGTTCCAATAGAATTTAAAATACATTTTTAAGCAATTTAAATATGAATAAATCCACATTTAAATATAGGTAAACATAAACGGTCATAAAATACTGTATAAATTTCTCATGTTTTTACGCAACGTGTAATATAAAATTTGTAATATTAAAACGTGTAATATATAAAATTTGAAGCTTATCGATAATTGTTGATCGCAAAAGAATAAATATTACATTTATTATATAATATTTTCCCGCTGCAAATATAATCGCAAAGCAATTTTTCCTCGAACTTTTCTCTATCAAAGTCTTCTCTTCCTTCCTCTCCCCCCCTCCCCCCAAATGTTCCTATGTCTAACACAAATATCTAACGCAAATTTTAATTTCGCGGATACTAAAAATTTTTCATCTTCATGTGAGATTGCCTTCAAATATTCAACTCGTCGAAAAATAAACATAGGCACGCAAAAATTTCGCCATATCGATTCCGCCACGCGCGCATCGATGAATCGGAAAAGCCACTTCGGTGTGCCTACGCGGAACCTTTATCGACGGGGAAGCGGGACAACCTCAGCGTTGTTTTTAGATATAACACAAAGCCCCATGAAAATGAACGCCGCATAATACGCTGCATTTGACGCGTGACATGACGAACGCGTCTACCACTTGTTACTCAACCAGAATACTTGATATACTCAATCAGAGAACAAAAGTTCTCTCGACGCGCGGGGGCTATTATATCGCATGCTTTCGATCAACCCGACACTCGTGTCGTCTGTCTGCGACAGCGTTGTTATCGCGATTTCGCGAGTCTCGCACGATAGCGGCACCACCGCGCGCGCTCGTCTTTTCTATTTATCTTTCTTATCGCGCAAACACGTACATAAGTTGGACGTCAGAATTTTTCAGACAGAAATTATTTCTATTGTTTCCCTTTTTCTTATTTGTCAGTAAACATTTGCACGCGGACGTACGCTAGCAGAAACGTTATGCACGAACATTTCTATACTCCTCAAGTTGCTACGTGCCATGGCTTCATGCTGTGTAAATTTTCGTATACTTTTACATTATTATTAAGCCAAGATCCAGTCTGGATTGTAAATAGCGTTTTTCTCTTTAGAAAAAATGATCGATTCGAGTTGCATATATCGAAAAATGTATCTCTCATTGAAATTTAATTGAGATTATATCTGATTAAGATTATATTTAATTAAGATTATATCTTCTATATCAATTGTTTGAGATAAACGACATTTGTAAATGGAGAAAGATAGAGATTTAATGTAAGACAAGTTCAACAAGATGAAAACTTTGACAAGTAGCAAGTGTCATGAGCAAATATCGCGGGGTCGTGATGCGGGGTCGTGATGCGCGATCGACGACACGCGACGGTCGGCAAGTTCTAAGCGCGGACAACTCGGAATCCTAATTAACGTCGTCACTCAACTTCACTGTCAATCGGACGATTAATTCGCGCGCCACGTTTCTGGATCGCCCCCGGGCGAATTTATGTAGGCGAGCGAGCAACGTCCGCCGATCTTGCAAATTCATAAGGTATGCATTACAGTTGCGCGCGATCTTAAATTCTGGACACGTCCTTAATTCACGCAAGCCATTACAACACCCGCTACTACAATGGATACGTTATTCTCGCTCTCGCTTAAAATTCACCCAATGATGAAAAACATCGATCCGGTTCATAAATACCAAGGGACACATATGCATACACCGTACACGTTGTTATTATTATTATTATTATTTTCATTAATTTTTATTCTTAAAATATAGCTTATTCATAAATCGATAAAAACTAATTTTCTAATATAATTAGCGCTCTTCCTAATTTTGGATCTACACCTTGAACTCGAGAAGTATGTAGATGCGCGGGAGAGAAGTACGATAATTTATCCTGCATATATTATATTACATAAACACGAATCTCCCGGAAAACTTACTGCTGCTGCTGCTGCTGCTGCTGCTGCTGCTTCTACCGCGTGAATTCGAGCGCGGCGTTTATCAGCATCCAAATCACTAATTTGCTACGCGGTGAGAAACGTATCCGCGTAGAATATATTCTATCACGATGGTAAAACGTTACGCCGTATTATCTGTTTACCAATGTTATACCGAGAGCGCTGCGGGAACTCAGATATGAAAATTGGACAGTTATGCGGAGAACACGAACGCGCCGAGGAACACGCTCGTTCATATTTGATTCGTCTTACGCCACAATTTTTATATTGTTCCGTTTTCCCCGAGCGGAAACGAAACGGTGTAACTGGACCGTGTATTCGACGTAAAATTGACGTATATCCAAAATATAACGGCCAGACATCACTTACGTCGCCGCATATACATACATTCTTAACACGTAATACGGGTAACATCGTATTACGAAAC